GCGGATTCTTAACCACTGTGCCACCAGGAAGTCCAGAAGGAATTATCTCTTGATAATATGGCAAATATACAGTATAAAACCATCTGGGTGTGGGGAAAGGCCTTTTATTTCAATTTGTTAGTGCATGTTGGGTGACTCAAATTTTCTATTTCCTTTTTTTTTTAACCAATCTTAGCATATTGTATTTTTCCAGAAATTTGCGTACTGTTTTATGACACCTTTTTACTTAATACCGTGTTTCCCTCTTGTCAAGAAGTATGGATTTATATGGTCCTTTGACACAGCTGTGTAGCGCTTGGATACACCCCCTGTTTTTACCCGTCCCTCTCAGTAGATGGTTCGTTTCAGTTTTTCTGTTCTGAACAGTGTAACTGTTGTTTGGGTTCTATCTCCGTGGTGAACAAACCACCTACAACGCAGTGGCTTAAACAACAATCATTTAATTGCTCAGGAATTTGGGCAGGGCTCAGCTGGGCAGTTTTTCTACTCTTGGTAGCGTCTGCTGTAGTCCCTGAGGAAGCTGAGAGCTTGGCTGGGGCTGGAACACCCTGGACGGCGTGTCTGCTGAGGGCTGGCTTGGCTCTTCTCTCTCTCCCCTCAGAGACCCCCCTCCTCCGCAGCCTCTGACCCTTCCCCTTCCATGTCATCTCTCCCGCAGAAGAGTCAGGGTTGCCAGTGCAGTGGGCAGCAGAAGCAGATCTGCTAAGCCTCTTGAGTCTTCCTCCTGGACATGGCAGGGCCTCCCTGCCACTGAGTCCACGACAAGTCGGGTGGTCAGTGCAGACGTCAGAGGTGGAGCAGACCTCCCCGACTTATGAGAGAGCTGCATGTGGGGAGGGAGGGGAGGAATTGCTGACGGCCGTATTTGCAGAAAATCTCCCGACTGCGAACACCCGGAGACCCTTGTCTGATAAGTGCTGGCGTCCAAGGCGAACGTTGTTTGAGTGGATGTGTGGTCTGTTGTTGCATGGATCTTGGGCAGTCATGTAATGACTGGGCCCAAGACAGATAAAGTTCCCCTCCCAGAATTTCCTACCGTCCAACAGGGAGTGTACACCGGCACTTACATGACTTGTAGTAATTATAGCGTTGCTCCAGGAGCCCTGGGAGTTTGTCACTAGGCTAGTCTTCAGTCGGCTTCCCCAGCTGCTGAAGAAGAGGGCGTTCTCTCCACTTTACAGAGGAGGAAAGTGAGGCTCTGGAATGAGCTAGCTTGCCCTACTTACCTTCTCTATTCCCTGCTACCTGGACGTCATCCCCCCTCTGGTATTCTCTCTACTCCACACAATGTTGTGACAATAACATGCATCGTGCAGCATTGAACAACCTCCTGGGTCTCTTGTCCCTTGGCCAGAGGGTGAGTTAAGGAGGTGATGGGGCTTAAGTACCAAGTCCTCAGGTCACACTTCTGGCGCTGTATCCTGGTTCTGTCACTTAGAAGGTTTATCGATGGGCAGTGGGCTTCCCCTCTCTGAACCTCACTTCCCTCATCTATAAAATGGGAACAATAACCTGACTGTTGGAGATCAGGGAGCTGGTGCGTGGAAAGTACCTAGATTCTTAGCAGTGGGAAAGGGGAAGGAGTGCATTTAGGTTCCCCGGGGCTCCCACCCTGAGCCGTTCTGCCTCTGCTGTCACCTGGGCTCGTCAGGGAGGCCAGTATGTTCATGGTAAATAAAAACATCCCAAAGGGCTTGTTGGTTCCTCCCAGTTGTGAGAACCATTGTGTTCGAATAAGATGCTGGAGGTGGCAGCGAGGCATTCCCACTTTCCCAGCCGTCAGTCCGGACACGGCTGCTGGGTAATTGCTCCCTTGTCCCGTTCACGCGGCCAACCTGGGGCTGGGCTTTCTGTCTCAAAGCAGAGTCTGTGTTAGCATCTCACTCCTCCCGCCTCGACAGGGCTTTCCTGTCCCGATGCCTTCCACGAAGGTTTGGCTCTTCCCAGCAAGCCCGGAACGCACTGCGAACTAGGGCTCAGGAGAGGGAGTCCGCACACGCACACATGTTGATTCATGATGAGTCAACGCGCGCCTGTAACATCTGGCCCTCGGTGTCCTGGCTGTAACAAGAGAACGTGTAGTACCGTTTGGCAAGGCGCTCACTGTTCAAAGGCCCAATTCCATTCCCTAAGTTGCTATTCATTGTTTGACTGTCAGTCAGGGCCTATCCAGATATCTGGTCACATCTTCTGGCAAATAATTTTCCAGCGAAGTTGCCACCCAGGTCTGTGACTTGTGCTGTGCTGTAGAGGCTTCCGACCGGGGCCCTGGGTGCCTGAGCGAGGGAGGGAGTTGTTTGGTTTCGGAGTGGTGCTTCTTCTCTCATCTGCTAATTATCTAGAGCAGCGAACTCGTGCGTTCACAGTCTTGGTAATCTCCACAACCAGGAAAGCCATCAAGGCAGATTGGAGATGAAGACAGTGGAAATTCTTGTTTGGAAGTTTAAAATCTGTGTGGACGTGCCCCCAAGACAGTTCTGAAACTACCTCTGAAAAGGCACTGGGAAGAAGTAGAAGTAAACGGGTCATGAAAGATTGTCTCGTTATTTTAATTCAGTTTGGCCATGAAAGTGAGTGTCCTCAAAATATTCGGTGGCTCTAAAAAGACGTCCTTGCCCCTCTGATGTCTCTGTATTACAGAGGCAGCAAGTGTCCTGCAGTCACAAGGGACTGCGGTTTGGCTGGTCAAGAGACCATGCACTGTCTTGTAGTGTGGCTCCGTTCTGCTGGCCGTACGGTCAGAAGTCGTATCTCGTTCACATGCGTGGCATAATATAATTCAGCATTTTCTGAATTGGGTTCCGGCGATTACTGAGTATCACTTAAAAAGTGGGATTTTGGGGGGCATGAGGTGGGGATAACCCGTGTTTCCATCTTGTGGTCCCGGTGATGTTGTCCATCACCGTGGAGTGCTCAGCCCTCCCGTGGCCAAGGGCGGGGCAGGGACTTGACGAGGCCAACTAGATCCTCTGCCCTCAGACGTTTGGATGGAGAGAGTCAAAGAGGGAAATACAGCTCAAATTCATTCCCTCACTCCCCAAAACTGTGCCTTGATGAGACAGCCCTGCACCCTCACACCTATCTTGGCTCCTGTCTGCTTCTGAGCCTGCTTCTCCAACCTATGTAGACTTCTCTGAGTGACCTGTTAATCGCCCGGTGCATTTCCACTGGGTTCCGAGTGAAAGTACATTTGAGACACTGGGTAACATTACCAGTTTGTTTTCTGCATGCATGCCTTCTCTGAGTCTCATACATTTTAATATGCTTGGTAAATGTCTAATGTGTTATGATGCAACAGAGACCTCACCAACTTGGAGGTCTGCAGACCACACAGGAAAGATGAAGAGGGTGGTCAGCCCTAGTTTTTAGGAGAGAGAGCGGGGGATGGGGTCAATAGGGAGATCGTGCCTCATCTCAAGGAGCGGGTATCTGCCGCTCGCTTCGGCCGAGGGCTTAGTGAGTTATATACGATGGGTTTAATTCGCCAAAGGCTCTGAAATGATGACAGCTACACTTGAGCAAAGGCAGCGTCCAGAAGACCTTCTCTTCTTGTATGGTTGCAAGCCTCCCAGGGGGCCCGGTGGGCTTCCAGTCCTGCCTCAGCTGTGTGCCAGCAGCGTAACCCTGCGCTAACATCTTTGCCTTTCTGAGCCTCGGTTCTGAGACCCGCACAGGGGTACAGTTAATATTACCCACCTCAGAGAGTTATTGTAGGAACTCAGTGACATGATCTGGGCAGGCAGTGCAGCCCAGGGCTTGGCAGGTGGCAAGTGCTCAATCAGTAGTTGATACATCTGATAAGGTGTGAGCAGAGAAAATGCACCTTAATTCCCAGGAAAATTAGATCCCTCCAGGTACGACAGAGACTGTCAGTACCCTGGGACAGGAGCTGGTTGGGTGCTGTTCATCATTGTACCCACAGCCTGGTACAGTGTAGGAGCTCAGATATCCTAACTGACTATCGAAGGACTCAAAATATTTAAACGTTGAATCCTTATAATTAAAAGTGCAAAAGAGACATTAAGATATCTTACATACTAGAATTCTACTACCTAGCAATGTAAAAATCCATCCATCCATGCTTCTGTCCATCCATCCATCCATCCATCCATCTTCCATCTATCCATCCATCAATCTTCTATCCGTCCATCAATCTTCTATCCGTCCATCAATCTTCCATCCATCCATCTTCCATCTATCCATCCATCAATCTTCTGTCCATCCATCAATCTTCTATCCGTCCATCAATCTTCCATCCATCCATCTCTCCATCCGTCCATCTCTCCATCCATCCATCCATCCATCCATCCATTTCCATCCATTCATCCTCCATCCACTACAAGGTCAATTGTGGTTTTACCCATTTTGCTACTACAAATCTGAGGAAGAGAGAATTAAAGGACTCCCTCTATTAATGATGTCAGTCTGCATGGGGGTCCACCTCCTAACACGTGGTGGGCTCATGAAGAAGTGGCACAGTGTGGAAATGAGGCGCGTTTGCACTGGTGCTCAGCTGCCTGGGCTCCAACCCCCAGGCTAGCAACTTCCCGGCTAAATGACCTTGGGCATGTCATGGTTTTACCATGGATTCATCGGAGATGATAGTACTCCCGCAGCTTAGGGTTGTGAGAACTGAATGAGAATGTGCGTACCACACTGGGGACAGCGCCTGGCAAGTGGTGAATAAGCCAACGAAAGGGGACTTCTGTTTCCTGAAACTTCTGGCATCATGGAGGCTGTGTAATTGCTGCCTTCCTGTGCTCTGTCTCATTGGCATCCCCGCTAATGAATCTGAAGGGCACATCGGTCTCGTAGCGGTGCGTCTGTCTCCTGCACGTATCTCTTTACACCTCTTCTGCACTCTGTCTCCCCACCACGGCTGCTACCTGGGGGTCTCCATGGCTGGATCTTGGTCTGATGAACCCACTTTGGGGGGACTGGCAGACCTCCCGAACCATGGCCTGCTGACCCGGAGCCTGTGTCTCTCTCCTCTCTTGCAGGGAGTCAGACCTGTTTCTGCTTGACAGCCGCACCCTCTGGGCCTCGGAGGAGGGCTGGCTGGTGTTCGACGTCACGGCCACCAGCAACCACTGGGTGGTCAACCCACGGCACAACCTGGGCCTGCAGCTCTCGGTGGAGACTCTGGATGGTAAGTCCACGCCAGCACCCCAGCTCGTGCCGGTGCGGCCCGCAGCCGTGGACTCGAGGAGGATCTCGGCAGTCCACGTGCTCGTCTCCATCAGGACCAGGCTTCCCCTGCCCCCTCCCCCATCAGTACTTACTGTCCAGCTTTTTGATCCACAGCGAAAGCAGTCCCTACGTCTTTTGCATAAGATGATTACACAGTTGGCCAGAGCTGGGTTGGGTGAGGCCTCGTTGCTCACAGCAGCATGGGTGGCCTCCCCCTATTCGAAATGCAGACTCTCTGGCCCGTCCCAGGCCCGCGGCGTCAGAAGCTGCACTTTAGCTGAGCCTCCGGGGATGCCCGAACACAGAGCGTGCTGATGCAGGCTCCTCACGCTCAGGACACAGGACATTCTGGGGTGTCCTGGGCATTGTTGGATGTTTAACAGTATCCCTGGCCTCTACCCACTAGATAGATAGATAGCCTCTTCCACTTGTGACACCCAAAAAACGTCTCCAGACGTTGCCAAGTGTCCCATGCAGGCACAGTTGCCCCAGTTAAGGACCACCACACTGATACGAGGCATTGCCGTCTTCCAAGAGCTTGAACGTGGTGCCGAGTCCCAGATACTTGGAGAAAGCGCTGTCCGCCCGCCCTCCCCCAGCCCCTCACCCTCACCCCACGCCCATCTTTTCTGAGAAGGGCAGACAGGAGAGCACGTGCGGGACTAGGGTGGGCCCGGCTGTGCTGATTTCTCCTTCCCCAAAGCGTATTTCTTATTAAGTGGGGATGCCTTTAGGGTGTGGATAACTTCTTCCTTACACCAGTTTACAGAAGAATTATTTTAGAATAGGTAATACATGTGCCTGGTTCAAAATTCAAAAGTTACAGCCGTGTGCAACAGTGAGTAGTTTCCCTCTGACCTCCTTCCTCCAGCTGCTGAGTTCCACCTCCCAGCGGCAGCTATCTCCATGTTATTGGGTGTCTTTCTGATCGGAGATGCCTTCTGGGTATCTAAGCAATTACGTATAGATTCTGCTGTTTTTTTTTTTTCCTCCCACAAATACTATCATAGTATATACAGTGTTCTTCACTTTGCTTTTTTCACCGGACAACGTATCTCGGAGGTTGGTCTTTTTTCCACTGTTACAGAACTTCCTTAGTCTTTAGAGGCTGTTGTGTTTTTGTATACACGTGGAGTGGATGCAGCTCTGCCGCTCACCCGCTGTGTGACTTTTTGGACAACTTCGCTAACGTCCCAGAGCCTGCACTCCTCGCCTCCAACCCTTGGGTAATAAGAGAGCCTGGGTTATTGGGTTGTTCTGAGAATGAGTGAGTTAATACAGGAAGAGTTTTAAAAATAATGCCCTAAGGTACAAAGGAATTCCCTGGGACTCTTGTGAAAATGCAGATTCTGTTTCAGCAGGTCTGGGACGGATGGGAGGCTGTGGTCCAAACAGCCCCCATGTGATGCAGAGGCTGCTGGTCCCTGGACAGTGCTTTGAGTAGTGAGGGCTGAGAACAGGACCCGGCTCATAATACACATGCCCTAAATGAGAGGAGGAGTTGTTGTCGTTGTTTTTGTTGTTTTACTACCACCAAGAGTAACTCATCCAGTCCACCCGGGATGGACGTCTAGGGTTTTTCCATCTTCCGCTCCTATAAACAGGGCTGCAGTGGAGAACCTCAGTGCACGTGTCCTTGGACACTTGAGTAGGTGTAGGTCTAGGAACAATTCCTGAAAGTGGCATGTCTGTAGTTTTTTTTTTTTTTTTAAATATTTTATTTATTTGTTTAGGTGGCACACAGGATCTTTTAGTTGCAGGACACAGGCTCTTCGTTATGGCACGTGTGTGGGATCTAATTCCCCGACCAGGGATCGAACCCGGGCCCCCTGCTTTGGGAGCGCGGAGTCTTACCCACTGGACCCCCAGGGAAGTCCCTGTTTGTAGTTTTGATCGGTATTGCCAAATTTACCCTCTGGAGAGGTCTGTCCATTTGCGCCCCCACTGGCAATGCACGAGGGCACCCGTGTCCCCTTCTTCGTTGGGACAGCCTCTCAAATGTACCTGTCTTTGCTAATCCGATAGATGATGCGTGGGATCTTGTAGTTTTGCTTTGCTTTTCTCTCCTCTGTGCGAGGCTGAGCCCTTTCTCGAATATGCTGTTTGCAGTTTCCTCCCTGGGAACCTCTGTCTCCTCTGCCCATTGCTCGCATAGGGTGTCGGTCTTTTTCTACGTTATATTTTAGGGACATTTTGCCCTTTGTGATTTGAGCTGCAGATATTGTTCCAGCTTTTAGTTCTTCTTTTTACTGTGGTTAATGCTGGGTTTGGCCAAGTGGATTTGGAAAATGTAAATAAATTTTATAATTTTTTCCCCAGAATTATCCGCCTAAGGTCACATGCTGTGTGGGAGGGGGCCACAGAGTTTAGGACCACACTTGTCTTCTTTCCAGTCTGGTCTTCTTTCTACTGATGGTCTCCCCCAGGCTCCCCAGCCCCCCAAACCTTCCCCTTTTCATGCCCCTGACACTTTATAGTGAGGTCCTAGAAGATGCTGGAGTTTCCCATTGCTCTATACTGGGTTGGCAAACTATGCACGGTGGACCAAATTCAGCCTCCAGACTGTTTTTGGGTGCCTGTGAGCTAAGGATAGTTTTCCAATTTTTAAATGGCTAAGAAAAATTTTAAGAAGAAGAATATCTTGTGACACATAGAATTATAGGAAATTCACATTTTGGTGTCCATAAATAAAGTTGTATTAGTACACAGTCACACTTACTGGTTTACGTATCACCTGGTCCTGCTTTTGTGCTGCAGCAGCAGAGTTGAGTAGTTGTAACAGACGCTATGGCCCACAAAGCTGAAAATATTATTTTTAGAAATACTATTTACAGAAGGAGTTTGCAGCCCCTGCTGTATACTAGAGTTTCTCAAACTGTGTTCCGTGAAGAGTCATGATCAGTTAAGTGCAAGAAATGCTAGGTTGGATAAACTAAACGGGTTTCACTGCAGGACTTATCAGAGCCTTTATTTTGCTGATGTCCATTGTGAATCTCCTGATGGGGTATACAGCATAGAAGAATTCCAAACTTATTTGGCGATAGAATCATTCAACTCTTGCTTGTCCTTGAAAGCCCCTGTGGAACACAGTGGAGATGAGGCACAAATGAGGCTAAGGGAGACTTGATTGACCTTTTCAGAGTGACCATTTCCCTGAACTTGTGGGTATTGGCTTGACCTGCCAACTTGATCCAATGGGTCACGTGCTCCTTTATCCTGCCTGCCTTTCTGGCTCAGCGTGGCACAGGTTTGGTTTTTCTCTTAAGTGACACTCAGCCCAGGCCTGCCATCCCCTTTCTCCCCCACAGTCAGGGCCTTTGTCCCCCTTTTGCCTCTAGCGTCTGCTCCCCCCCAACCCATGGCTGAGGCTCAGTGTTTATTGACGTGGCACAGCCTGATGGTTACGTGGGCTTGGGCTCAGGAGCTGGCCAGACTCCCCAGGTTCAAGTCCCAGCTCTGCTGTTTCTAGCCACATGACGCAGGGTGAGTCACTTAATGTCCCTCATCTGGAAAATGGGGTTAATAATAGTTTCCACCTCCCAGGGTGGTTGCAAAGGATTAGATGAGCTCATGCAAGTGAAGAGCTTAATTGCTTAGCGTGTGGCAGCTGCTAAGCACAAAGTAAGTGCTTTCTGCCATAGTCTCATGTGATCCTCACCGTTACCAGCGGGGTAGATGCTATCATTAACATCCCCGAGGGGCAGGTGACGAAACTGGGGCCCCTGAGAGGTGCTGAGGCCTGGGGACCCCTCTCCAGCCAGGGGGAGCGTAGCCTAGTGGCCGCAGGATGCTGCCTAGAGCCAGGGTAAGGCTTAGACACCATGCCCCAGACTTGAGGCCCCATCTCCTCCCCTCCTAAGTGGGGCCCTGGGGGCTGGGCATGGATGCCGCCGCCCTGAGACCCGGCCTGTCCAGGTGCTGTGCACGCCGACGCAGCAAGTTTAAGCTGGTTGCCCGGGTCAGGGAAGGATCACCCACCCAGACCGTCAGGGAGGAGGAAGGTATTCAATGGCCAACTGAGGGTATGAGTTTTTGCGTCTTTGGGGGGATGAGATAAGAAGCAAGTGAGCCCAGCATTTCTGAGACCACAGGCTCCTGGCTGGGAACTCGTTTCCCTCCATGGTGTTTCTCCCACGTGTTGTCCATCACAGTCCCCCTGGGTGGCACGTTGAGCATACAGATTCCCGGGCTCCACCCCCAGACCCACTGATGGCGATTCCCCAGGGATGGGCCCAAGAATCTGCCATTTCTCACAGGCTCCTTCTAACTTGGGGTCTGGCCCAGTGATAACACTCCGCCCCATGTTTTGGGGTACCCTGTTTATAAGATGGTGCCTGGGCTGGCCAACTCCATTCAGCTCTAAACCTGGGTCAGAACCTTTTCACGTTGGATGCCTACACAGGTGAAAGACCAGCAAGGCCTGCTGGGGAGTCCGTGGACTCTGGGGTGCATTTGATGGGCCGGCTGATGCCCACATACTGTGTGCCAGCCCTGTGTTACCTGTAGGGACAGCCTGGCCCCTGCCCTGGGACCACCTACTAGCATTAATATAAACTCCTACAGCACCTGGAGAAGACGGAGTTTCAGGGCGTGGCACCCGTGCCCAGCTCCCAGTGCCCCGCCTGGGAGGGGAGGAGATGGGGCACTGAGTCGGGGTGCAGCATCTTGCAGCCACTGGGCACCTGCCAGAATATGCAGCCAGGTCACCTCCGGGGCCTCAGTTTCCCCACCCGTACAATGGGCATGTTGATGACAGTAATTCGGACCAGCTTGCTTAGTGAGGCACAGACGTCACAGACCCTCTCTCCTGATGTTTGGTGCGGCGTGAGGTGAGCCCCGGCTCACCGGATCTCCACACGCTGCCTGAGACCACCCAGGAAGCGCGTGTCTGTCCCCTCTTCCTCCAGCTGCGGCCCTCCTGTTGGTCGCCCCTCGGAGCGGAGCGGAGCGGTGCAGCTG